ATCCTCTGCATTTCTTGCCAAATCCTTAAATCTGGGTCTCCTTGTCCTTCTACCATCAGGTAATGGGAACAACTGTCGAAATCTTGTACCCACCTATAAGACCTCTGGTCAACCTCTGCTCAAGGACTGCCCCAGCTTTCCAAACCAAACCTTGATGAAGGCCATTGGAGCCATTTCACAACATCTCAGCACCTCCTGAAGTGAGATGGTCAAAACTGCACACAATACTATAATTGCAAATTAACCCAAGCTTTGTCATTTTGGCTTTTAAATTTAGTAGCCCCGTTTAGGAAACACAAGATGCCACGTTCTGCTATCTTTCACAATCTACACACGTGCACACCCAGGTCCCTCTGTCCCCTACAGACACTTTAGAACTACACCACAAAGTAGACATTGCCCTTTCTTCTGCTAAAGTGCATCACCTCTCACTTCAGTACATTAAATTTCATCAGCAACTTGCCTGCCTATTCCACTAACTTCTTGTATTGCAGGCTTACGATATCATTCTCACCATCTGCTACACCTCTGAGTTTGGTGTCAGTCAAATATGAATTTCACTCTTAATTCCAATATCCAAGATTCAGCAACATCAACAGCATGGGTCTGACTTCCATTCTGGCTGAGAGAGCTGGCACTATCATCTTGCCTTGATTAGGATCATTTACTTCACTGCTTCCATCTCACCGAAATCCTCACCTGGTTTATAAAATCATAAGGAGCATAGATAAGGGGAGTGACAAGGGTCTTTTTCCTAGGATAGAGAAGTTCAAAACTGGACGGCAAATTTTTAAGGTGAGAAAAGAAAGATTTAAAAAAAAAAAAAAAGGATATGAGGGACAACTTTTTGTTTTAAAAGAGAGTGGTTACTGTGTGGAATGAACTGCCAGAGAAAGTGGTGAATGGAGGTACAGTTACATTAAAAGACATATTGATAAGAATATGAATAGGAAAGGTTTGGAGAGATATGGGCCAAGTGCAAGCAGATGGGACTAGTTTAGTTTGGGAACATGGTCAGTGTGGACTGGTTGGACTGAAGGATCTGTTTCCATGCTGCATGACTCTATGGCTCCATAACCTACTTCATTCACGTTCTAATACTCCTCTTGCAGATCTCCCATTCCCTTCAGCTCATCCAAAATGTTACTGCTGGTTTTCTAGATAGCCACATCCTTTACTTTGATTGACCCCCATATCTAAATGGCTTCTCATATTTAAAATTCCTATCCTTATGCTTAAATCCCTTTCCTCATTATTCAAATGCCCTCACGCACTTCAATACCTGCCCCCAAAACCACAGATTCACCACCTCGAATATCTTCCGCTCCTCCTCCTCCTCCCACTCCCAATGCTTCAGTTCACCATCAGTAAACATAACTTCATCCACACAATCCTCGTGGTATGGAATTCTCTCCAACACCCCACTTCACCTCCTTGCGTAAAAAAAATCCCTGCAAAGCCAAACTCTGACCCAACTTTTCATCATCACGCCTAATATCTCCCAATCTAGCTCAGTATCCACTTTCGTTTCTGCCCTTAAACTGCCTTGATCATGATATTCAATATAAATGAGCGAATTGGTCAGAAGCTGAAAATATTTTCTGCAGCTACGAGTATGCAGCATTTCCAACCAAGCCTTATTCTTCAGTTTTTATAGGCTACATCTTGGTACTTACCACTGTGTAGAGCCTTTAATCACCTCCTCTGTCATTTCCATTAGGAGCTACAAGGAAAGAAATTATACACACAGAGCAGTATAAAACACAAGAACATAAAAACTAGAAACAGGAGTAAGCAATACAATCATAGCTGAACTTATCTCAGCCTCAATTCCACTTACCTGACCACTGTCCATAACCTTTCAAACCATTGCTAATTAATAATCTGCATCTTCTCCTTAAATTTACTCAGAGCAATTTAGAGACATGAACTGTTACACCTCCTTGTTCAAATGTTGACTGATACACTGTATATTTTGAGATTTTCCTTTTCATCTTAAAGATATCTAATTAAACAGTGAAGAACCATGTTATGGAAGGTTTTTTTTTTAAATTAGATGATGTGACAAAAGCAGATGCCAATTAAGGAGTCTGGCACAGACTGCTCAATTATGTAATAATCTGGTTAGGTGCCAGTAACATTTCTGTTCAAATAAGGAAAAGTTGAAATCCCACACAATAAAGCCACAAGATTCCCGCTCTGAAGAAAACAGAAAACTTCACTGTACAAGTTAGAAAACAACAGCAATGATATATTATAATTTCCACTTTAACACCCAGAATTAATAGGAGATAAATACAGTAACAAGTCATGCAACATTCAAACAGATAGTCCTGCAATCAAGAAGCCAGTCAAGATTAATCCTATTGATTTCTCAGCAACCCACCCAGACATTAGTGACACTATGGATCATGACATATCATTAAAAAGTTGTCTCTTTCATTTGAGATTCTATTTCTTCACTTGCGATGGTCTACCGGGGAACTCTCTCAGTAATTCTATTTTGGACCGACTCAATGACTGCTCTCCTCCTGGTGGTTCAATCCCTTTCCCAAGACTCCACAAGTGTCTAATTACTGTTGCTACTTTAGCTTATTACCAAATGGTTAGCTTCATCAAGCCACCACTGCTCTTGGTTTTCTCACAGCTTCCAGACCCAGTGCTTTATTTTATTTTTGAGCAGAGCTAACTGACTTCTGAGACTGTGTTGTTCTGCTTTGGCCAAGTTATAGTCTAGCATCTAAACACAGGCATGATCGCAACTCCAAAGCCATGCATTGCTAGTAACTGTTCATCTCCCAGCTACTTAAGCCCTAGTTCCTGAGTAGAACCCTCCTGCTCACAGGCCATACTTTGTCCTAACCGCATAGAGCCAGTTAACAGTAGCACTTCAGCAAAGTGTAATTACTTCTCCTATTCTCTATCACTGACAAACTGCTGAACTGATCTGAGTGACCTCCTAAAACACTCTGATCAGGTCCCACCCTAGGCAAAATTGAACGTAGCATCCATTGGAACACTCTATGCTTATGTTACTAATTCCACAGGCTGAGGCAGTACACAGCTTAAATGGATATAAAAAGTTGATTTTAAATCACAAATTTGATACCTCAAGCACTTTGTTTCACACTCCTTCCACTTGGGTAGTGATCTCTCAATGTGCTGGCTACATTACTGGCCAGCAATTATGTACAATATTTGACTTGTCACAGAAACTATATATACACATGCCATTTAAACTGGCTCTTCACTAAACTTCAGCATACAAATTCTCATGTAGTGTTGGGATACAATCCGGTTTGTCACTCTTCACTCGTTAGTTGCACTGAATGTCTTCACATCAAGACTACACTACATTGCGTTCTGTGGCACTAAACAGGATGGACCAAGAATAAATCAAGAACTGAGCACCCATTAGGCACTGTGGACAGCAGCAGCAGAGTTGTATTCAAACACAACCTCATGGCTGGCATATTCCTCACTCTACAATTACCATAATGCCACGGGATTAAGACTGGTTCAATGGAGACTGCAGGATGAATTCAGAAGAATGTGTTCTGAACAAGAGTCATTGGACTCAAAATGTTAACTCCTTTTCTCCCTCCACAGATGCTGCCAGATCTGCTGAGTTTCTCCAGCAATTTCTGTTTTATTCCCTATTTTAATTGTTCCACCATTGGTGGTTGAGCTGTCAGCTGCCCAAAGGCTAAACTCTAGAATCCCTTCTTTAAGTCTCAACCTTGTTCTTTTGATAAGACACCAGTCAAACTGTACCTTTTTGATCAGGTTTATGGTTATTTCCCCTAATATTTCCTTATGTGGCTCAGTGTCAAATTGTGTTTGATAACATGCATATTTAGTGTCTTAGAGCATTTAACAATTTCAAAAGTGCTACATAAATACAAAGAATAATGATTACATGATTCTTCAGAAGAATTTTATCCTAAGAAAGATAAATGCAAATGTGACACTTGCCTTTCCCAGAAGCCCTTTGTCCCGTGATAAAAAGCCACCACTGTTCTTTACAGCTACATCCAGAGTTCTTTTCTGTACCTCTGCCTGGGACACAATAAACTCAAATCTATGGAAAAACAAATAGGGAGCTGTATCTCCATCAAATCAGATTTTGTAAAATGTGCACATCCCTATCCATTTCAGGCCATTGGTCTGTCACGTGGAGCACTTGCTAAACAGTAGATCAACTGTTTGGCATACATCCCACACATTTTAGATTTCATATTTCATTCTATTGCATGTGATCAGTAGAAAGAGAGACAGTAATGTTAACAAACAGAGAAATCTTGAATAAAATATGCTGGATTAACACATATACCACTTTAATGCCATAATCTCGGTCCGTGAATTAATAAATACTGAGCATCTAGTGCTCTCACCTGCTTCCTTGTAAACGGGTGAAGACTCTGACGATGGTGGTGGTGGTGGTGGGGTGGTAGTCTAGATTTTCAAAGGGCTGGGTTGGAAGCTGGTGAGGGCTGGATTTTAAAACTGCAGTAGAGGTCATCTCAGGATCTGCAGCACGGTTTGAAAATTTAATAAAGTGTTGGAAGTGGAAAGAAAATGGAAGTTTAGCTTTTCAGAAATAGTCTGGTGCAGAGCTGTGGAGTTGGTGCAAAAATTTACTTTTTTCACTGATTTCTCCCGGAGCCTATTTGCACTGGTGCAAGTGTTGGACTTGCATTTCTCCTTCATAGCCCCTTCCAGTCCCGTCGATGCTGCTGGCCCGTTGTGAAGATACTTGTCGCTTTGGTGAGGCAGCACCAGGCTCCGCCAATACAATTGCTATCTGTCTTTGTTCCTCACAACAGACAGACAGCTCTCACCTCCTGGAACTGCTTGGCACCTCTAACTGGGTGCCAAGATTGTCTCCTGATCAATTAGGGCGTGAACATTCAAATATACGGTCGCAAAAGCAAAATCAATGTGTGGTATTGAGATGAACACAGCAGGCCAAGCAGCTGTGTTCATCCAGCTCTACACCTTGTTATCTCAGATTCTCCAGCATCTGCAGTTCCTACTATCTCTGTGGTATTGAGATCCTGGCATTACTCCTGTCTGGAAAAAGACTAATTCTAGATTGAAGGTAGGACTTGAGAGGAGACGAAATTTAAGAATTCATTCTACTGCTTTTTTTCCCCCAAGGCTTTGACTTATCCTTTGGCACAGTTTCCAGGTGCCTGCAACCCTTTAGCACCTCACCCCGAGCAACTGCAAATCCAATGGGAGAGTCATCATCACTCAGTTTGATCCTGCTGTCACTAACCCAGCATTCATGTCACTGCATTAACCCAGCAAGTATCACTAATCTGAAGAAACAATGGGAATAATGGTCAATATTTTTCTTCTCTGTACTCGGAGCATAGGATAATGAAAGCCATTGTTAGATTAACTAGATCTATTGTTAGTACAATACAAAACAGGAATGAAACACAAATCTTTCCAGACTCACTCCATGTCATCTGGTGCACTTAAAAAATTAAGTACTGCAGATGCTGAAGGTCTGGAATACAAAAAGTAAGTTCTGGAGAAACTCAGCATCTGGTGACAGAAACAGAGTTAGAGCCTGAGTTAGTGCTCAGTCTTTGAGTGTCTTGTTGGTGGATAGGTGTACGGAAAGAGGAACTACACATCCACATTGAAGAGGCAGCGCCTGGGATCAGGAAGCTGGAATTGTTCAATGTCGGAATGAACTGGTAGGTTCCAAAGAACAATTACATTGGTCTGGACTCGAAACTTTAAATCAGTTTCTCTCTCTGCAAATACTGTAAGACTTGCTGAGTTTGTCCAGCACTTTTAGTTATTATTTCATGGGGTGCACTAACTAAGTAGTGAGAATTTCAGATTTATATACCAAAGCTATATTTCTAAGAAAATAAAAACGTTTCTGTGAAATATCCATCCCTACCGCACAAGTGACAATGACCCAGGCAAATGCTTATACCATACAACTGAGCAAATACAGGTTGACAATAGGCCTAAAGTATGGAACATTTGGTATTGGGTCTTGAATATAAGATTATCATAATCATTTTCCAATTACTCCATGGCCCCACCCCTATGCCTTCTGTAATCTTTTCCAGCCCCACAGTCCTTTGAGATTTCTGCACTCCTCCTAATTCTGGCCTCTTATGCATCGCAATTTTAATTTTAATTAGGCTTTAATTTAGTTTAGGCTCTAAACTCTGAAATTGGTGTTGGAGGTTGAGACAGCTCATTATACATCTTTTGTTGCATCTTGCATTTAATCATATATATTACAAAGAAGCAAACACTCCCAAAACCACCACCTACAGCAGTGCATATAAATGGACTTTCAATGGGAGAACTTAAAAACACATTTCCATCAAATTACTCAGACTTGACTTCAGTTAGTTAGACTTGAACCCAAACCTTCTGGCCGTAGGAACATTACTACTGTACCACAAAAGCCCTTTCTAGGAGAGCTTCACGTTAGGTGTTTCACACAAGCAATGGATTTCATCAAATACAAGCATACGTTTCATTACTTTCGAGCAAGTGTAATAACTGTTCTAACTGTCATCACATTAAATCGCATTTCAAATAGGAACATTCAGTTTAATTGATTAATAATTCCATGACTTTAAACCAGAATATTTTTAAACGAATGCAAAAATTTCTCTACTAACGTTTCATCATAGACTGGATTTAACTGTCTCTTCAGCACAGATGTTTTTCTCCTTCCAGATCTTCTTTTATCAGGCAGTAAATACAATCGAACATATGGATCTGAGCCATCTTCAGAAAAAGCTATTAAATTACTGCAGGAGAAAAATTAATGTTAAACATCATCAATTCGAACTTCTAGTATAAGCATTCAGCAATTTAGGAAGATAGAAATCATAATCTCAATCTTCACAATCTGTAAAGACACACAATCTTCTGTTGCTTGGAATAAGAAGTGATATAAACACAGGACACATTATTACCCAAACAATATTCAAACCTGCAGACACTCAAGATTGCTCCTTCTAGTCAAAGCATGACCACCTTAACTGCACACACAACCTTTGCGAATAGAATATTCCAATATATTTTTTCCTAAAAACCATAGGAAAAAAACAAGTAGGTTGGCCAGCAGCTTCAGCTTGTTCCATCAAGAATCATGTCAGCTGCTTTGTTAGACTTATCTCAGTGAGTACCTACCATAAATCTCATGAAAGAATGCAAAGAACTGCAGGCAGCACAGTGGCTCAGTGGTTAGCACTGCTGCCTCACAGCGCCAGGGGCCCAGGTTCGATTCCACCCTTGGGCGACTGTCTGTGTGGAGTTTGCACATTCTCCCCGTGTCTGCGTGGGTTCCTCCGGGTGCTCCAGTTTCCTCCCACAGCCCAAAGATGTGCAGGTTAGGTGGACTGGCCATGCTAAATTCCCCGTAGTGTTCAAGGATGTGTAGATTAGGTGGGTGAAAGGGGGATGGGTCTGGGTGGGATGCTCCGAGGGTCGGTGTGGACTTGTTGGGCCAAAGGGCCTGTTTCTGCACTGTAGGGGTTCTATGATTCTACGAATTATTGTTCCAATTCCATGTAGCAAATTATGGAGAAGCTGTTTTCAGAAATATTTCCCAGCTATTGCTTTTCCTCCCTTATTTTACAAGCCTCATTTCATTTTTATGCAGTCACATCATTTCACTAAACTGTTGTATTACCTACCGGCAAGCATGCACAACTACAATGAGTTTGTTTCTTTGAGAACTGTGCCGAAGTGTTAGTTGAATCTGACCCAACGGTGATTGACCAAGAGTTGTTCCACTGCAACACACAAAAAGTACAAAGATTTACTGATGAGACCAATTCTAATGCAATACTGATGAATCACACCAAAATTAACCCAAACAAAATAACAGATCAAATGGCAATAGGCTGCAGAGCACTGTACAGATTTTCAACCAAAACAGTTTAATTTTCCAAACTCAAAACCCTTCACCTTCATGAGGGCCTTTTCTTTTTAAAAAAAAACATCTGTTCTGGTTCAATCAAAGGAATTGAATGGAGTTGGTGCTCAGAAGAGCATCCTCTACTCCGTTCCAAAGGGATGCAAAAGAAAACAGAGGTCTCTCCCATTGCCAAGGTTGTTTCTTCAGACACAGTTGCAAGAGTCATCTTCCTAATTAATGCCACCTAGTGTTGAATTGGTGAACAAGTGGAGAGGTGAAAAGAGAAAATCCCAGAGTTTAGGGCCTGGACAATTGAAGACACGTGGAGCAATTAAAATTGGAAATACACAAGAGGCCAGAATTAGGAGGATTGCTGATATCTCAAAAGGACTATGGGACTGGAGGAGATAAAGGGACGAGGCCATGGAGGGATTGGAAAACGACGGTGATAATTTTAATATTCAAGACGTGGCTTAACCAGGAACCAATGTAGGTCAGTGAACACAAGGAAGATAGCAACATGAGGTTTGGTGCAAGTTAAGACAGCAACAGCAGAGTTTTGGATGGTACAAAATTTATGGAGGGTAGAAGAAGGGAGACCAGCCAGGTGCGCACGACAACTAAAGATAACATGAATGACAGTTTCAGCAGCAGATATGCTGAGTCAGGATGAAAAGTAAGTTTTTGCCTTGTTCAAAGAAGTAGGGAATACTTTTGTTTAAGAGACAATCATAAAAAAGAAATGATTTTACATTCCCATTCCTTACAACCAGTTTTAAGTAATGAAAGAACTCCTCCCAGCCAACCCCAGTGTAAAAGGCAGTGGGGGGTAGTACTTTTGGAGTTGCCGCAGTCTCTGGTGTAACTCCTGCGTGGCGAAGGGTAGAGACACATCAGAGGCAATACTCGGAGTTGGTTCTTTAGCAGAAAGATGAGACGGAGAGCCTGTCTGGCTGGAATTGGTGTTAGCTGATGCAGTTTGTTGAAGATTGGCAGGCCTCTGTGGGCTCAGGGAAGCAGTGCTGTAGTTCTCCAGCTTGTCTGTCTTCTCAGGATTTTTGATGCTGTCAGCAGCGGGAGCAGTGGGAGAGGGCTTATTTGACTCTGAGGGGGGGACCAGTGGCACTTTGGACGCTGGCTTCCGATTATCTTTGCTACGAGATGGCTGCTTCTTTAGCTGAGCTGATGAATGGTCTGGAGTCTTGTCTCGCTTTTCAAGACCAAGGATCTATAAAGAGGAGGAGCACAGTGAGAATAACTTCAAGCTTTACAAAATAATATGACAATTATATGGTGCTGAAATTAAAGATAGAAAACAATTTTTTTGAGGTTAGCGACAGATGAAGAAAGCCATCCAAACTCATCTTAATTAATTTTTAGTCCTATCCATCCCATGTTAGGCCTCTATGATCCTGCATAAAAGGACTGCAGACCAGCAATACCAATCATCATTCTCCTCTTTGAATATTTTCAAGGAAAGTAAGTAACCCTTTTAACTTCAGTTGTTGTTTCCCTCGTGATTAGACTTTAAAGGAAATGTTGGGCAGAATTTAACAGGAGACAGGGATTCCTGGTTGCCCCTTACCTATAGCATTAATTGGTTGAAAAGGAGCCCTATGCCCCAGAGATGGGCAGAGGTCTGGCCTCAGCGAGCTGCCAGGCAAACTGAGAGCGACAGTCACTGTGGGTGCTACATAACTGGTGTCCATAATCTTTTATGTACAGGGGGATCTCAGGGGAGAAAAGCGAGGCCTGAGCGAGATTTGGAGAGGTACAACGGGAGCCTTAATAGGGAGGTCAGTGGAGAAGGAAAACACCCAGTAGGGATGTGGGAAGGGAGAACAGACTTCAGGAAAGGGGCCTTCGAGAGAGACTGTAGGGTTTCATATTTTCATGACTTGCTCTTTTGGATAATACTGTAATACCCAACAGAAACAACAGCGTTAAGGTTTGACTGCAAAGTGAGATTTGTTAAACCTCCTTAAAAGATGTAAATATATGGTTGAGAAGTTGTTTATGCTACTTAGAAAGGAAACATATCTAGGTCACATCTTTCAAGGGTGGCTACTTGCTACAGTCAACGAATGTCGATAAAAATAGCAGCCAGAACTCTGTAATAAGACAAGAACTACAGACTGAGTTCTGAAGAAGGGTTACTGGGCTTGAAGCATTAACTTTATTTTCTCCCCACAGATGCTGCAAGACCTGCTGAGTTTCTCCAACAATTTCTGTTTGTGTTTTAGCTAAATCTCTGTGTTGGAATAAAGGTCATATAACCTGTGATCTGCTGTGGAGTTCATGGATTGAAATGATTTTATGAGAAGAATCATAGACATCATTGGTTTAGAAAAGAAGACAGAAGATTGACCATGGTGGACTGAACACAGCAAAAGTCAGTCAAATGGAAAGTGATGAGCCAGCGTTCCAGAGTGCACCGACTATATACCAGTGCCTTTGTTAAATATTATAACTTTGTACTAGAACAAAATGAACAAATGAAAAGTACAGCACAGGAACAGGCCCTTCGACTCTCCAGGTCTGTGCCAACCAGCATGCCCTAATTAACCTAAAAACAAACCTGCCAATTTTTGATCCGTATCCCTATATTCCCTCCCTATTCATGTACCCAACGAAGTGCCTCTTAAATGTCTTATGAGCCTGCTTCCACCACCTCTTCTGGTAGTGCATTCCAGGCCGCTACCACTCTGTGAAAAACTTCCCTCATACATCTCCCTTAAACTTTCCCCTCTGACCTTGAACCTGTGCCCCCTTGTAATTGAAACTTCAACCCTGGGAAAAGAAGCCTCTGACTATCCACCCTATCTATGCCTCTCATAATTCTGTAGACCTCTATTAGGTCTCCTTTCAACCGCCATCTTTGCAGTGAAAACAATCCTAATCTTTTTAACCTTTCCTCATAGTCAATGCCCTGGAGACCAGGCAACATCCTGGTGAACCTTTTCTGTAGTCTCTCCACATCCTTCTGGTAGTGTGGTGACCAAAACTGCACACAATACTCCAAATGCAGCCTAAGAAGGGTTTTATAGCACTACAACATGCTTTGCTAACTCTTGTACTCCACGTCCCTGGCGATGAAGGCAAGCATGCCATATGCCTTCTTAATCACCTTGGCTACCTATGTTGCCACTTCCAAGGAACTGTGGACCTGCACGCCCAGATCCGTCTGAATGTTAGTGCTCCTAAGGGTTCTGCCATTTACAATACAATTCACACTTAAATTTGATCTTCCAAAATGCATCACCTTGCATTTGTCTGGATTAAACTCCATCTGCCATTTCTGTGCCCAAGTCGCCAATCTGTCTATATCCTGTTGTATACTTTCAGGATCATTGGCACTATCAGCAACTCCACCAATCTTCATGCCATCAGCAAACTTGCTCAACAGACCAATCACATTTTCCTCCAGATCATTCATATATACTACAAACAACAAAGGACCTAAGACTGACCCCTGTGGAACACCACTAGTTACTGGTCTCCATTCTGAAAAACATCCTTCCACCGCTACCCTCTGTCTTCTATGACCAAACCAGTTTTCTATCCATATAGCCTGAATCCCATGTGATTTTAGTTTTTGTACCAGTGGGACTTCATCAAATGTCTTACTAAAGTCCATATAAACTATATCCATAGCCCTTCCCTCATCAATTACCTTTGTTACTTCTTCAAAAAATTCGATCAGGTTGGTGAGACATGACCTCCCCGGAACAAAACCATGCTGCCTGTCACTAACCAGTGCATTTTCCTTCAAATGCGCATATATCTTGCCCTCAGTATCTTCTCCAAGAGTTTCTCCACCACAGACATCAAGCTTACTGGCCTATAGTTTCCTGGATTATCCCTGCCTCCGTTCTTAAACAAGGGAACAACATTTGCTAATCTCCAGTCCTCTGGAACTTCACCTGTGGTCAACGAAGTTGTGAAGATATCTGCCAATGCCCCAGCTATTTCCTTCCGTGTCCCTCTGAATAACCTGGAGAAGATCCCATCTGGTCCTAGGGACTTGTCTATCTTAATACAATTTAGGATTCCCAAAACTTCCTCTTTCAATATGCTGACATTCTCTAGCATATTCACACACTCATCCATCTTTCTCCTAACATATGCATAAAAAGCCTTGGGATTCTCCTTGACCCTGTTTGCTAAAGACATTTCATGGCCCCCTTTTTGCCTTCCTAATTGCACATTTAAGTTCCTTCCTAATTTCTCTGTACTCCTCCAGGGCTTCATCAGTTTGTATGCCGTCTAGACTGGTCGTATGCTCCCCTTTCTCTTTTGACTAACCTTACAATTTCCCTTATCATCCATGGTTCCTGAATCCTGCCATTCCTACCCTTTAGTTTTGCAGAGACATGCATGTCCTGCACTTTAGACAATTGGTCTTTGAAAACCTCCTCAAATAACTGCCTCCAATTCACATTCTCCAGTTCCTGTCTAATTTGGGTGTAATTGGCTCTTGCCCAATTAAGTACCCTCGCCCGAGGGCCATTTGTGTCCTTTTCCATGACTACTCGAAATCTTATGGAGTTATGGTCACGAAGCCCGAAATGCTCTCCTACTGAAACATCAATCACCTGTCCTGACTCATTCCCGAGGACCAAGTCTAATATGGCCTCCTCTCTGGTTGGATTGTCAACATACTGCCTCAAAAAGCCCTCCTGGACACATCTAACAAATTGCTCTCCATCCGAGCCCATGGCTCTAAGGGATTCTAAGTCAATAAGATGAAAGTTGAAGTCACCCACCAAACTACCCTGCTCTTTTGACACTTTTCCAGTATCTGACTACATATCTGCTCCTCTGTCTCCCATGGGCTGTTGCAAAGGTCTATAGAAAACTCCCAACATTGTGGTTTCACCCTTCCTATTCCTGAGCTCCACCCGTAATACCTCATTGCAAGATTCCTCCAATGTATCTTCCCTCAACATAGCTGTGATGTAATCCCTATTGAGCATTGCAACTCCCCCACCCCTTTTGTTTCCCTTTCTGTCCCGTCTAAGACAGCAATATCCGGGAATTTTAAACTGCCAGTCCTGTCCATCCTTTCACCATGTCTCTGTAATGGCAACAACATCATAATTCCATGCAGTAATCCGTGCTCTTAGTTCATCTGACTTATTTGTTATACTTCTTGCATTGAAGTAAATGCACTCCAGTCCCTCTGAGCCCCACGATTTCCCTGTGCCTGCTGTTACTCTATGCTATGTATATCTCTGTCACACTTTTGTCCCCAGTCCCTGCACTACTGGCCTAGTATTCCAGTTCCCAACCCCCTGTCACTTATTGTGTCTAACTTAATAAATTCCAGAACGCTTAAGCCAACATACTCATACCTAGTATGATCAGTAGACACAGATGAACTGAATCCAAAATTGACTTAAAGTTTAAGAACGAATAGAAAACACAACAGTCCACACTTACAAAGCAGCATTTCCCTTTTATCGCCAGAGGCCTGAACAGGGTGACCTGGCAGTCATTCCTAATCATGATCCCTTCACACCAGCCTTAAAATTGAGGCCAGTAATTGGCCACTCAAGGGTATTAATTACGGTGAGAACAGCGTTGCCTGTAAAACTGGGGGCAGGGTGGAAGCAGGCAGCTGGAAGGCCACCCAGGTCATTTAATACCACCTTCCCTGCAAACCTGCCAGTGGGGACCATTAAATACAGCATGATGTTTTAATCTGAGATAGTCTGAGAAGTAGGGCAGTGGACGTTCGTAACTTTCTCCCATAAACAGCAGAAGATAGTGGATCAGTTGTTAATTTTAGATCTGAGATCAATAAATTTTTGTTAAGCAAAGGTATGAAGGATTTGGGCCAATGGCATGTATATAGAGAGTTAGGCCACAGATCAGTCATTATCTCATCAAATGGTGGAACAGGCTCAAGGGTCTACTCTTGGTCCTATGTTTCTAATTCTTGTTAATTTATGCAAGGTCAAATATCACATGACACCAGGTTATAATCCAACAGGTTTATTTGAAAATGCAAGCTTTTAGAGCTCAGCTTCTTCCTCAGGTGTAGCAGCTGAGCTCTGAAAGCTTGCATTTGCAAATACACCTACTGGACGATAACTTGGTGTCGTGTGTTTTTTGACCTTGTCCACCCCAATCCAACACTGGCATCTCCACATCATGGCCAATTTATGCAGTCATTCATTCCAGTACTCGCCATCAACGGGGGGTGGGTGGTAGGGGGTGGTGGGGGAAGAGAGAAGAAACACCTGACACGATGATTTAGATGTAAACTGCCATAAAAATCCACTATTCCAATAGTATTTCTTACTTACTGAGTCATCGAGTTATACAGCATGGAAACAGACCCTTCGGTCCAACTGGATCGTTTGCAGTTGCGTTTAATTTGAACTATAGCTTCACTGTTAGAACTTAGCTTTGAACAAATGTTTAAGAGGCAGGTTAAATAGGAAGCACCAGTGATGGTTATCGCCAAAGTGGAGGAAGCAAACAATTTTCTTTTATTCATTTGTAGGATGTGGCGCCCGTCCTTAGTCAGTCAACTTTGAAAGCAACAAGCAAATGGAAAATCAAAGAAATAAAACTATACCATGGCTATATTTTTGAGATTAGCCTGAGTATTGCTAATAACACTAAGTTAACTTTTCTTGAGAACATTCTAAAAGAGACCAATTGCAACAGGTATAACTTGCTTGACTGCAATCCCTTACACAAGCCCTGCAGAACTAACACAAAAGGCTACATGCATGAAATCTACCATACAAATAGACAAAACATGCAGGAGCTGAAGTTCACATTTCTGGATTAACAACAGTCTGTATAGCTCACTTAATTTGCTTTTTTTTTTAAATCATCTAGCTGAAACAATTCCCCTGGAATAAAGTTAGCCCACCCAAAAATAACAGACAAAGTGCTTGGGACATGACATAGACTCTGCTTTTATGTATGGATACAAGTTGTTTTCCCTAGAACTTACAGAGTTACTGGCACACATGCAGTAACAGTTTTCCTACATTTAACACAGTACACAAATTTTTAAATGGTGTTGCTGGAATTCTCAGATTCCTTGAGGTTGAGCTCTAGCAACAGCTGATTATTTCACTCCCATCTCCTGGCTGCATTGCAGAAATACCTTCTCAAAGTAATATGTACTATGACCTGCTATGAGAAATGTTTATCATGGATGACAACACACATTATTTACTTTAAAAATCACATTCAGATCTTTCCCAAAGATCAAAAATGAATCGTTATCAAGTTGGGGTCTGAAGATTAAATATTCGACAGAATGATCACACTGTTGCATTTGTCTTTCTTTTCTCAAGTGCAAGGCAAGTCAACATCGCTGTTTGGGACAAAATAAAGGTACGGGAGTCATCTTAGACACAACACGACCTATATCTAATTGGGCCTTTTATTAAGTTAAAATTAGTCGTTAAAACTGATGCACTGAACTGAGCATTTGGCATTTTATTACCATGTGCTGGGCAAGACAACAATATTCCTAATAACGAAAGCTGTTAGCTCATGATTTGCTCTTCCTGCAGTCCAGCAAAGTAGATATAAGAAGAGCCTTCAAAATCAACAGATAAGCTGGGAATAGAGAGCAAGTGCAGATGAACATGTGGCTACAGAGCTGGTGTAGGAGGGACGGTTTCAGATATGTGGATCATTGGGATATCTTCTGGGGAAGGTGGGACCTGTACAAGAAGGACAGGTTGCACCTGAACTGGAGGGGGACCAATATCCTGGGCAGGAAGTTTGCTAGAGCTCTTCAGGAGGGTTTAAACTAGTTTGGCAGGGGCATGGGAACCAGAGCTGCAGATCAGAGGATGGGATAGCTGGTGTACAGGCAGATACAGCATGCACAGAGTCTGTGAGGAAGGGTAGACAGTTGATAGGGCAAAGTTGCAGTCAGTGCGACGGGTTGAAGTGTGTTTATTTTAATGCAAGAAGTGTCAGGAATAAGGGTGACGAACTTACAGCATGGATCAGTACTTGGAGCTACGATGTTGTGGCCATTACGAAGACTTGGATAACACAGGGACAGGAATGGTTGTTGATGTTCCGGGGTTTAGATGTTTCAAAAGAAATACGGAGGGAGATAAAAGAGGTGGGGGAGTGGCATTGCTAGTCAGGGATGGTACCTCAGCTGCAGAAAGGGAGGTCATCGAGGAAGGTTTGTCCACTGAATCAATATGGGTGGAAGTCAGAATCAGGAAAGGAGCAGTCACTTTATTGGGCGTTTTCTCTAGACCCCCCAATAGCAACAGAGACACTGAGGAACAGATTGGAAAGCAGTTTTGGAAAGGTGCAGAAGTAATAGGGTTGGTGTCATGGGTGACTTCAACTTCCCTAATATAGACTGGAACCTCCTGAGTGCAAATATATTGGATGGAGCAGTTTTTGTCAGGTGTGTCCAGGAAGGATTTCTGATTCAATATGTAGATAGGCCGACTAGAGGGGAGGCCATATTGGATTTGGTGCTTGGCAACGAACCAGGCCAGGTGTCAGATCTTTCGGTGGGAGTGCATTTCGGTGATAGTGATCACAACTTCCTGACCTTTACTATAGTCATGGAGAGGGATAGGAGTAGATAGTATGGGAAAGTATTTACTTGGGGGAGGGGGAATTACAATGCTATTAGGCAAGAACTGAGGAGTATAAATTTGGAACAGATGTTCTCAGGGAAGTGCACGACCGAAAGGTAGAGGTTGTTTAGGGAGAACTTGCTACAAGTGCTGGATAGTTTTGTCCCACTGAGGCAAGGAAGGAATAGTAAGGTGAAGGAACCTTGGATGACAAGATGTGTGGAACATCTAGTCAAGAGGAAAAGGGAAGCTTACTTCAGGTTGAGGAAGCAAGGATCGGACAGGGCTCTAGAGAGCTACAAGGTAGCCAGGAAGGAACTGAAAAATGGACTTAGGAAAGCGAGAAGGGGGTATGAAAAAGCTTTGGCGGGTAGGATTAAGGAAAACCCTAAGGTGTTTTATACTTATGTGAGGAACAAGAGGATGGCCAGAACGAGGGTAGGGTCAATCAGAGATAGTGGAGGGAACTTGTGCGCGGCATCAGAGGAGGTAGGGGAGGTCCTTAATGAGTACTTTGTTTCAGTATTCACCAGAGAGCACAGCGTGAAACAGGCTGATATGCTCGCACAGGTTGATGTTAGGAAGGAGGATGTGTTAGAAATTTTGAAAAGCATGAAGATAGATAAGTCCCCTGGGCCAGATGGGATATACCCAAGGCTATTACGGGAAGCAAGGGAAGAGATTGCTGCGCCTTTGGTGATATTTTTTGCGTCCTCACTGTCCACTGGAGTAGTACCAGATGATTGGAGGGTGGCAAATGTTATTCCCTTGTTCAAGAAAGGGAATAGGGATAATCCTGAGAATTACAGACCAGTTAGTCTTACTTCTGTGGTGGGCAAATTATTGGAGCGGATGCTGACAGATAGTATTTATGATTATTTGGAAAAGCACAGTTTGATTAGAAATAGTCAGCATGGCTTTGAGAGGGGCAGGTCATGCCTCACAAGCCTTATTGAATTCTTTCAGGATGTGACAAAACATATTGACGAAGGTTGAGCAGTGGATGTGGTGTATATGGATTTTAGCAAGGTATTTGATAAGGTTCCCCATGGTAGGCTAATTCAGAAAGTTAGGAGGCACGGGATTCAGGGAAATTTGGCTGTCCGGATACAGAATTGGCTGTCCAACAGAAGACAAAGGGTGGTAGTAGATGGAAAGTATTCAGCCTGGAGCTCGGTGACCAGTGGTGTTCCGCAGGGATCTGTTCTGGGACCCCTGCTCTTTGTGATCCTTATAAATGACTTGGATGAGCAAGTGAAAGGGTAGGTTAGTAAGTTTGCCGATGACACGAAGGTTGGAGGAGTTGTGGATAGTATGGAGGGCTGCTGTAGGTTGCAAAGGAACATTGACAGGATGCAGAGCCGCGCAAAGAAGTGGCAGATGGAATTCAACCCAGAAAAGTGTGAACTGATTCATTTTAGAAGGTTGAATTTGAATGCAGAATACAGGGTTAATGGCAGGATTCTTGGCAGTGTGGAGGAACAGAAGGATCTTAGAGTCCACGTCCATAGATCCTTCAAAGTTGCTTCCCAAGTTGATAGAGTTGTTAAGGCAGCGTATGGTGTGTTGGCTTTCATCAGCAGGGGAATTGAGTTTAAGAGCCGTGATGTTATGCTGCAGCTCTATAAAACCCTGGCTAGATCGCACTTGAAACATTGTGTTCAGTTCTGGTAGCCTCATTATAGGAAAGATGTGGAAGCTTTAGAGAGGGTGCAGAGGAGATTTAACAGGATGCTGCCTCTGGACTGGAGGGCAGGTCTTATTAGGAAAGGTTGAGGGAGCTAGGGCTTTTCTCATTGGAGGGAAGGAGGATGAGAGGTGACTTGATAGAGGTGTACAAGATGATGAGAGACATAGATAAAGTGGACAGCCAGAAACTTTTTCCCAGGGCAGAAATGACTGTTACGAGAGGGCATAATTTTAAGGTGATTGGAGGAAGGTATAGAGGAGATGTCAGAGGTGGGTCCTTTTACACAGAGAGTGGTGGGTGCGTGGAATGCGCTGCTGGCGGTGATAGTGGAGTCAGCTAGATTAGAGACATTTAAGCGACTCTTGGATAGGCACATGGATGATAGTAAAATGTAGGGATGCAGGGTAGTTTGATCTTAGAATAGGATAACAGGTCGGCACAACATCATGGGCCAAAGGGCCTGCACTGTGCTGTACTGTTCTATGTTCTAAGCTGAAAATCAGAAGGAAGAGCAGTCATCAAAATATTTCAACATTGCCAAATTAACGAGTTCGATCAAGTAATCAACACAAGCAGGAATCTTCTGATGTCAGCCAAGTTTTGTAGTTAAGTATCAGAAACATGTCTGTTCCCTGCAAACAATTTCATTTTAGTTTGCAATGACCACTATTTTTAGATAATATCCTAATTGGAAACAATGGGATATTATCTTTGTTTAAACAGATATGGAGACACTGTTCACACATACTCTAAGCATGATCTTCATCTTGAGCATGCTACTAGGACCTGAATTGTTCAACTGGAATCGCTGGTCCATTGTTAGATCTTCAGCCTCCAGCAAATTTTTAAGAGGTAGGTTAAATGAGCCTAGCGAGCATTGGTGATGGTCATCCTTAGCCTGGAGAAAACAAACAACACGACAGTAAACTTTCAAAGCATCAAGCGGCAGTCCATTTAATAGAAAAGACAAAACTACACCTTAAATTTTATACAAGAGGCTGGAGGCCAGATATTCATGCTCCAACACCATGAATGAATCCCGCCAGAGATGTTCTGCAGGAGGAGAGCAGCCTTCAATTACTGGCAATGCCACATGGAAGTGTGGTAGCTGCCAGTAGCATTAAGTTGGGCCTTCTCCAGGATTCATTGTGAGATTCCTGGAGAAATGTAACTGCTGGTGGGACTGGGATCAGCTTCCTGGTGCCAGGTTCCTCAGTTAGGGCTTGCTCCATGCATAGCAAGATCTGTCCACCACTGGCTGAATACCTGTAGCAGCAGCATGAGGCCCTTAAGTTGGCATTAATTGCCCACTTAAGGGAGAACTGCCCATAAGCCTTCCTATCTCGATCAGGAAAAACTGGTGCAAGATTGATCCCACATCTTCCTGCCTAATCAATCACATCCCCAGCATCACGTCGCCAATGAATTCATGTCCAGGAAGAAGGTGGGTATCATTAAAGACTCTCCTGCAAAATAGTTTCAAGTTTCCTTTCTGGGACATTGCACTGATATTTCCAGACACTGGCCAGAACCATCAAATATCACTCGTGAAAGTCATAATTATTCATTTGGTCCAAAAATTTCTTATTCTGATACTTCACATTAAAATAAACCCCATTTGCTATGCTTAAATATGTTTACAAGGCAGCTTGTTGTCATTGATCATATACATTACTGTTAATGTGTCTAATTCAGAATTCTGATTTAAAATATCTCATGAATTTGATTCAAACAGCAATTTGATGTTTCAGGAAATCTCATTAGCTTTTCAGAAAAGTTTCAATGTGAATTATGAGTAAGCTACATAAATCTTGAAAGTTGCACCTTTGGTTTGGTTTCCTGCTGCAAACTTCAACCAAAGTGCTCAATGAATTGGTTCCAGTAATCGGCTAACATAAACGGTAATACAATACAAGCCTTTTAAACATTATACCTCAATATCCAGGTCCACAGTCAGTGGATTATGAATGCGGAAAGTAAATGCTTCTTCCCAGACAGGCTCAGTGGTCCGATATCGGATCTGCACAAGGTGATGGCCAAAACAATGTGATAAATAAGCCACCATTTTACTGATGGCAAATAATTTTTTTTATAATCTGCTATTAAAAACTGGTAACACACTGTATGAATCAGCTCTATAAAACAAAACTAAGCATAGATCAATGTAAAACAGCAACAAATTACCGGATGCTGATACCAATAAACTCAGATCTTTCTTAAATATAGGGATTAAGATTTAATTAGAGCATGTTATCTTATTGAGTAATTTCTGACTCTATGTTATATAGAAGTGAACATAATCTGTTCATGTTTTGTGTGATGATACTGTGCCTTTAAGAGACGTGTTCTGTCCTGTTTCTCTTGCAGAGGGGTGTTGTCACTGTGAAGCCCAAAATGTCTCCTTCAAACTGACAATTGGTTAATAGTTTTGAGTTTTCCCTGGGTCTCTTCTAAAAAGTAAGGCAAAAGAATCATGAGCGGGAAGGGTCAGGCTCACACAGACCCATTAGAATTTCAGTTTTGTTTTCAGTTAGATGGTGGGTTTACTGTCTGCTGGAACTAACAGCTTGAGTTCTCCAGAGTGAACAGATAGTACGTGAGAACCATAACTGTTTCCCTGTATTACATTTTGCCAAACGGTGTGTTTATGGGATGCTGCCTATATTGGAACAGTTATTGTTAGTGGTTAAATATTACATTATCTTGTCAAGTATTTTGATACAGTAAAGTTATGCCAACTCTTCTTTTTGTTGTATTTTAACTGAGTTGTCAGAATAAAGTGTGTTTTGACTAAAGCTTAGTGGTGGACCAAGCAAATTATATCTAGAACACAGATGTTAGGGTCTAGGCTATCTCCATAAATGTACTTTGAGAGGGGTCTGATCTGATCCATAACACTTGAATGTCATGTGAACATTCCTCCAGATCACTTTGCAATTAAATGGTGGCAGCTACACCATTCACCATTAGTATTTCAAACAAATGGTGCATTCATTAGGAAAGGCGTTATCTTATTAGCAGCCACACAGGGTGGAATTTCACGTGGGCAACAGATGTCTTGCCTACCACTTGGACAATAGGCAGCAGGTCTGCATCACTCACCTTGGGCAAGGCCTCATTGGAATATACCGATGAGCCACTTAATTGGTCAGTAATGGGCCTACCTGGGATTTAGGACCCCACGACCAGAAATCAAACCCACAGAAAGCAGGGAAATTGGAGTCATTGGTGAAAGCAAGTAGCAGAACATTCCAAGGTATTTCACAGGAGCACATAAATACAATTTGAAGTGAACTGTTAGGTCGGATGATCAAAGCTTGTTAAAGGAAGTCTATTTTAAGAAGCACTTAAAGGAGAGAGGTAGATAGGTGGAATTTTAGAGATTAGAGCCTGAGTAGCTGAAGATCTGACCACAAATGATGTAGTGATTAAAAACTGTGGATACTCAAGGTGCCCAATTTAGAAGGGTGCAGGAGGGCTGCAGGAAGTTTCTTTATTCTTTCAGGGCATTGGGTTTTGATATGTGCATGTGTAAGGACAGAATTAATTGCCCTTGAACGTAACGACTCGTTATTATTATTTCAGAAGGTCAACCATATTGCTCTGGGTCTGGAGTCATATGTGAGCTATGTAGGTCAGACTAGGGAAAAAGGTCACATTTCCTTTCCTAAAGGAAATTAGTGAACCAGATGGATTTTTACACAATTGACAATAGCTTTACACTTGCCCTTACTGAGATAGGTTTTCAATTCTAAATGATTAATTGAGCTTAAATACCAGAAGATGTCATGAGGTCTCCAAAACGCTTACTTGGGCCTCTGGATCATTAGTCCAGTGCCATAGAAACCAGGAGGGGTAATAGGCCATTCTGCCCTTCAAACCTTCTCCATCATTCAGTATGATCATGGCTGATCCTCTATACCCTTGAAGTATTTAAAATCTAAAAATTGATGTATTTGTTACTTCAAATATTCAGTAGCATTACAACTGCACCTCTGTCATCATCTAACTAAGGTTGAAAGGGAAAAGGACACAGAGGATTATGAAAAGAATGATTAGAATTTTTAAATGAAGTCAATACCTATCTGGGGTATAATCAGCAAAATACAGGAATGATTGGCTGAATTTTATAGCCATGGGTGAGGTGGAGAGAAAAGAGAGGGATAAAGAGAGAGGAGTAAAAGAGATTTTTAGATGGGTGTGGAGTAACATTCGATGCCACAGAAGAGACATTGAGCACCTGAGCCTTTCAGAGACACCCATTCCAGCTAAAGATTTTGGCATCTCCCACCAGCCAGCCACCTGCCCTGGCCAGGAGCATGTTGGAATACTAATGCTAAGAGGCATTAAATTCACAAGTGGGTATTTCACCAACAGATGAACTGTGGCAAGAGTTGGTCACAATTTTCCAAAGTTGGACGTCAGTGGACTTATTGAATGAGTAAACATTTAGTTGAAATCTCATCTTGGGGTCAAATAAAAAAGTTCAATCTCAGGCAATTGCCTGGAAATAAAGATAATGGTTTTTGATCTCCCAATTTGGATAAAAATATTGGCAAAGAGGCAGGAAACAAAAAAATCAAAGATTTTCTGAGACTGGAAATCTGCTTCCAATAGTGTTGCAAACACCCTGCCCCTGCCTCTGATCTTCTACTGGACTCCATTTCTCTTCTCGGTCAACTCCACAAAGGAGGAAAAAGGTCATGACCAACAAGGCAGCATCTACCAATCATCCCCGAACATTCAATTGCATATTAATTGCTGATTCCCCAACTATTAACATCCTGGGGGTTACTACTGATTAGAAACTAAACTTAATCAGCCATAGACATACTGTGGCAACAACAGCAGATCAAAGCCTAGGAATTCTACGCCATATAATTAACTTCCCAATGCCTGTTCACCATCTACAAAATATAATGCAGGACTGTGATGGAATCCTCTCCATTTGGCTGGATTGGTGTAGTTCCAACAGCACTAAAGAGGCTTGTCACAATCCCGGAAAAAGCAGCCCATGTGACTGGCACTCCAAGAACCACCTTTGACATTCACTTCCTTCACCACTATCACAGTGGCCAGCACTGTATACCATCTACAAGATGCACTGTAACAACTCACCCCGGATCCTTGATCAGCAACTTCCAAACCTATAATCTCCATCAGTTAGAAGGTTAAGGGCAGCAGATACATAGCAACACCACAATCTGCAAGTTCCTCTCTATTCCATCCTGACTAGGAACAGCACTGCCATTCCTTCACTGTTACTGGGTCAAACTCCTGGAATATCCTTCCTAAGGGGACTGAAAATCCCCCTACAGCACAAGGCCTGCAGCAGTTCAAGAAGGAGCACATCATATTCTTCCAAGCAATTAGGCATAAACAATAAAATGGCTGAGCTAGTCAGTGATTCTGCTTGTACCACAAAGGAATAAAAATAAAAGCCCTACCTTCTTGTTGCTTGACCACAGAGGAGGAGGCCTCGACTGAATGCCTTTAGGACCCAGAAGCCTCCAGCCTCTGATCAGCTGGTAGCTTTTGATGTCCCAGGACACCAGTTAAGGCTTGCAATATGACAAGAAACTCACATAAGCACTTGATGACTTGACTGCCACACAACAGGATGATTTATCTCAGCATACAGAATGCACGTTAGTCAGCACACACTTAGTTGCAAAACAGGAAAACTGCGGACATTGTGGAAGAAATTTGTCGCTGAATTTGGGAAGCGTGGAGGTAACATCTGCAATTATTCAAAAGGAACTGACTGACTGGTGGTAATTAAAACTGGGCTCCGTTACAGGAAAATGGGCTGCTTACCTTACTTTCGTATGTGGTATGTCCCACTGACAACTGAACAAATGGGTTAGGCTCACTGTTCATTTTTTTCGCAAACTGTAATGGAAGACGAGAAAATTTTGGAAGTCAGTGAAGAAAACCTAAATTCTTATTTATTTACTAGTTGTCAGATACAAGGTATTTCATTTTGGCTTTGTAACTTACCTAAAATTTCCTGTTTCAAGATTCTGAAATGAATCATAGAATCATAGGATCCCTACAGCGTGGAAACAGGTCATTTGGCCCATCGAGTCCATCCCGACCCTCCAAAGAGCATCCGAACCAGACCCACACTATACACGTTACCCTGCATTTCTCATGGCTAATCCACCTAGCCTGTAAATCCCTGGACACCATGGGTAATTTAGCATGACCAATCCACCTAACCTGCACATCTTTGACTGCAGAAGAGAACCAGAAAAAGCCCATGCAGACATGGGGAGAAAGTGCAACCTCTACACAGACAGTAGCCTGAGGGTGGAATTAAACCCTGGTCCCTGGCGCTGCGTTAGCAGCAGTGCTAACTACTGAGCCACCCTCACTAAATATCTTGGAACTAGCTAATTGGCTGAGAACAAATGTTACAGAATCAAAACATGAACTGACTTAGATTGTGTTAAATTTGCATGAATAAACAACATTTAACATGGTAAAACATGAATTCATAATGGTATCAACAAAGTCCTAACATGAATTACTGAAAAAATATTTGAATCAGTTCAGGCAATAATAACAAGGCCCGAGAAGACTTTCACAGTTTCTATTTGTTTCTTTTGTAGATGTATAACAAAAAAAAAACTAGCTCTTTTTAATGTCAGAAATCTCAGAAAATATTGTCTGTGACAATCACCACTGCCCTGAGAGATTCTCTTTAATTCACAATAATTCATTCACTAGGTTAGTTAGCAAATTAACAAAGATTTTACCGAAGCCCACAAAAAGTCATCGAGTTCAGGTTGCTATTTTTAATTGGCTTGTTCAAAAGTAGGAATTCATCTAAATAGTAATTTCTATAGATATCCTTTAGCATCTCTCCCAGTGTAGTACTGCATAGTTCCAGCAAGGTGTCAGCTGGCCTCAGTATTGTACATGGATAGAAAAGCTGCTTGAAATGTTATCATGATGCTATGGATTGGTCAACAGTTGACTCAGATAAATCAACTCACTAATTCAGAAGATCAGCAAGTTAATAGCCCAAAATCATATGTAAACTCTTCCTGACTCACCACTCTCTGAAACTCATTCATGTCCCCTCTCTCACAGTCATTCCACACAATTACACCAATGGAACTACGACAGAGTTAACTTATAAATATTTTCACTTGGTAACACATAATATAAAGGGATGGATTTTGGCTAAGTAGGTGCGTAATGAGTGTCAGGAAATTCGAGATGGATTCAGGTCTGTGACTCTGGAAGCAGGACTCTGGCTGTCACAGGACAGGTGAGTGCCAAGGTGGGTTGGTCAGTTCAAAGGCCTGCTTCCATTATCACTGCGAGAGAGGATTTTTAGGTCCTCCATGCACTACCCTACATATCTTCTTGCCACTATCCACATCCCATGCCCCTTGTATGCTCCAAACCAACTCTTGTCCCTTCCAGAGATAGTAGGAACTGCAGATGCTGGAAAATCCGAGACAACAAGGTGCAGGGCTGGATGAACACAGCAGGCCAAGCAGCATCTTAGGAGCAGAGAGGCTGACGTTTCGGGCCTAGACCCTTCAGCAGAAAAGGGGGAGGGGAAGGGGGTTCTGAAATAAATAGGGAGAGAGTGGGAGGCGGATAGAAGATGGATAGAAGAGAGGATAGATGGAGAGGAAACAAACAGATCAAAGAGGCGGGGATGGGGCCAGTAAAGGTGAGTGCAGGTGGGGAGTTAGGAAGGGGATAGGTCAGTCCAGGGAGGACGGACA